TTCAAGATCGGTCACCGGATAGGGACTACCTACATAAACACTATGATGTCATTCGTCGTGTTAAGCGAATGTTAGCTTGGGATTGGGTAGTGTACGTAAGTCATATCCCTCAAGAGATAAATTCAGTAGCCCATACGCTTGCTAATTGGGTGTACGGAACCTAGGTTCCACTGTATTTTGGAGGAGTCCTCCAGACTTTATCTTGCTACCGTTAGGGAGAGACTCTATGTCTTGAGCTTGTCTGTTTGTTTTTAGTTTCATACTTTACCAAAAAAATACTTCATACTAATACCATTTGTTATCCAACAAATATTAGTCACTATTTTCGATAATGAATACTTTGTATCAATAGCATGATTATATTACATGACACTTCATACGGTGACACTTTACACAACTCCTTGTTAGTTAGAACCTTTCATCAATCATAACCCTTCATGGGGATAATTTAGTCATTTATCTTTTAAAATAGCAAGGAGTAAATAATTGGGGATAATATATTATGAATAATTAGATAAGATATTAGTAGTTAATTATCTTTATAAATTGAAATTCAAATTGTGAGGTAATTAGGTTAGACATTTAGCGATGAGCTACGCAAGAGATAAGGTTAACATATTATTTAAATGTATCAATAGGATAGGGTTGTGTTAATTTACAAAAACCTAAATGGGCATCTCGTGATCTGAAGAAAGAAGAGAGCTTGAGGCTAATGGAGAAGAGCTCATAAATCCAAACCCATACTTTAGCGTTAATCAAGGTAAGGGAGAATGAGAACCTCGCTTTGGAATGTGGGTTATTTGTTGGGTAGCGGGATTATGACCCTCAATTCTATTATTTATATGTTTGTATGCATGAGAGATTAAACTCATTTGTTGTTTATGATTGTGATGTGTATTATATGCATATGTAATGCATTTTTAGTTTTCTGAATGTGCTATTATGATATAATGATATTATTGACCTATAAAATTTTATTTTTCACTTAAGTAGCAATGATTAATGGATTACTTGATTAGTTAAATGTGAGACTGAGTTACATATTAATTGTGAGGTGAATGAATAACATGTGCTTTAGAATGAAAATTGAGAATACATGAGAGGCTTTGAATGCTTACATTATGAAACCTTTGAGACATGTGAAACTAGTGATTAGGCCTAAGTATGACTTAGCGGTGATATGTGAAATATGTTGTGATGTGAATGTGATTTATTGATTGTGCATTAGATTCTATGTATGACATTCATCATTTGCATACATGTATTTTTTATGTGATGGATACGATGTGAAATATGCTGCTAGTGAAGGTCTCTCATGTAAAAGCTTGGGGGTTCCATGACCTTGGAGATATCTAGGTTTGGGAGCCCTAGTCTAGCCACGTTGAGTGTGTGTGGGGTGAAACTTGGCCAACATAGCTATCCTAACATACTCTGGTGTATTTTTTATTAAGTCAAAAGACAATCTTGAATCCCTTAAGTTTAGAGTTTTAATGCTAACAAATAAAATATTTTTATGAGAGAAAATATCTTAAAAAATTTCTTCATCAAATATTTTTGAAAACACTTATCAAACAAAGTGTAAGACGCAGATCATCTATAAGACGTTGTAAAATAGATGAAACATACAATTTGTCTCATATATATTAAATTCTTATTATTTATTGAGACTAATGACAAAAGTTTCTTGAATGCTTCATTTCTTAACAAATCAAGCTAAAAGATTATCTTGAAACTCACAAATCTGTTAAAGAGAACAAGATCATACTTTTTGTTAGTACCAAGGACAAAGATCACTAAAATCACAAAGAAAAGTAGATAAAGTCACAATTTTTGTTGCACTGCACTGACATTGCTTCTACAATCTCTGTTTGGTATGAAAAGTTGATAAGTAGCCTCCTTGATCAAATAATAGATATCATTTGGTGAAATACATTTAATGTTTACATTAAATGAGTCGAACAGTTACTTTCTATCACAAGAAAAGATGATGAAGCCAGATGAAGAAAACTTTTAAGCTAGACTCAAAGTGTTGCAATGGTTATCTTCTTCGAGCTACTATATAAGAAGATTTAAAGCTTAAGAAATAACATTGTAGATAAGGAAAGAGAGAGAAAGAGAGAGAGAGAGAAAGAGAACATATATATACACTTGTATATAAAAATAATCTCCCTAAATTTATTCTTTTTTGTAAACACTCATTGCTTTATACTAGTTGTACAATGTGTAAGTGAGATGAACACAATACTTGTGTAACCTTTATAACCATTGCCATAAGGTTGCACCTGGAGAGGCTTGTCTAAAAAAGACTACTTTTTTTGAGCCTAAAGAGACTTGTTTGAAAAATAATACTTGTTTTGAGTCTAGAGAGGTTTAATTGTAAGAGAATACTTGATCGGTAAGCCTGAAGGGGTTTATTGTTAAAAGAATACTTGGATAGTTACTTGAAGAGTCAAGTTAGAGAATACTTGAAGTTAAGAGTGGCTTGTTGAAAGAATACTTGTATCTTTGTTTAAAGATAGTAAAACTCAATCTGGTTGGATTAAGAACTTGACGTAGTCTTGGTGGTTGAGACAAACTAGTATAAAAGTACCCAATGTTCCATTTGACCGCTCTTTGCATTTCATTTGACTAGAGTTACTACTTTACTTCGAAAAATGTGTGAGTTTTGATGCACACTATTCGACCCTCCTTCTAGTGTTTATCTTTTCTCCATATTTTCTTCTAGTGAGAATGTAGTCATGACTTGATTTGGCTTGTACTCCTAAATTAGGTCAAGCAGTGAGATTGTTTTATTAGCACTACATGCATGTAGTTAGAAAAGTCTTATATATTTCATGAGCATAACATACCTATTGTTGTGAATGTAGAAGTTGAATGATATTGCAATGTGATTTAAAGCATGAGACCTTGTATGCCTTGATTGTCGCAAATGATATGATACAATTAATCATGATAATTGTGTTGATTCAACTATATATTATTGGAATGTATTTGTATGTGTGTGACTACCCCAACTTTTTTTCTACATTAGTAGTTGAAGTGAGATATGATCTCACTCTCCTTTTCTTTGTGGTTTTGTTATGGATTTATGTATGCAAGTGATTTTGAATTTGGAGGAATTTAATTAATGGGACAACTTTGATAGAATGTAACATCGAGGTTCTTAGCATATGAATTATTTATGTTTTATTTGAATTAGAAATTTTAGTTTATTTCATTTTATAAATATTTTCGCAAAGGGTTTTGTATGAATTTTATTGAAATTTATAATATATGACATTAATATTTTTTAAAAAATTTAATAAAGACTAGGTTATGCGGTGCAATTACTAATCCACTAGTTCGACCTCTAATCCACTAGTTTAATACCTTATTTGATTTACTAATCGATCCAATTTTTAAAACATTGTCTAGTGCCATTTATATCACCCCTTAGAGTTGACATCTTAGAAGTTTCATTTCATAACACTTCACATGTTGATACTTTATACAACTCCTTATTGGTCAGAACTTTTCACCAGACAGAACCCTCCATGGATAGCCCTTTCTAAGATGCGTGATCACCTTTGGGATCAACAATTATCTCGACGAACTAGAACAAACTTTTCAACATATTTTGTAATCACTCATACATTTTCTAAAAAAATTCTCACAAGGTCACTCATCCCTAAAATAGTCATTTGAACTTTTCATAATTAACAATGCTCATAAAATAGTTAAGACCAACCTGTAAGTTCAAATTACAAATGTAACACCCTTTCAAATTTGATGTCTCAGTGACTCCACGCCAACCTTTTATTTGTCAAAGCCCTACGTGCATAGTTCTTTTTGATATGTTCATTTGTTTTTAGGATCAACGACTATTCACACAAGCCAACACAAGACTTTTCAGCGTACTTTGTCCTCACTTGCACACTTTATAAAAAAGTTTTCCAAAAGATCACTCATATTTAAATTGCTCTAAGTCAACCACGCTTAACTGTAGAGTTTTTATGTGATAAGCTACTGAAAAATAGACGCATCTTGTAAATATAGGTAGTACAAATTAATTCTTTTAAACCATCCTCAACTATATAATCTCTCACTTGTACAAATGTCTAAATCTCTCTTATTCTGATGTGTCCGAACTATTATAATAAAAGAATAAAAAAAAAAGATTTTCTAACATTTATTTTGACCAATTTTATTTTCATTTCTATAACTTGAACTTTTATATATATTATAATATATCACATAATGTATTATATCTTTTCATTTATTATCAATTTAAATTTTAACGTTAATTCCAAGTTATACATTATAAAAGAAGGAAATAAGAAAAATAATGAAAAGAAAAGCTAGAAGGGGTTCACATATTCGATTCTCCCCCGTTGTGGAGTGTTTCCTTTTAATTTACAAATGAGTCTGGTGTAACATTTCCTCGTGATTGCTAGTTTTCTAATCTTTTGTTAGTTTTTTCTTGGGCTTTTAGCCCCCGCATGAATAAAAAAAAAAAGTTAGATCACGTATAAGTGTCACTAATATTCATTTGCATAGATTATAAAAAAAATAATCTTATGATAAATTTGAAATAAAATCTTAAAATTATAATAAATTAAATATATCTCATATAACTAAGATATAGTTGCAATTAAAAATACTATTATATCTAGTTTTTTCTTGGGCTTTTAGCCCCCGCATGAATAAAAAAAAAAAGTTAGATCACGTATAAGTGTCACTAATATTCATTTGCATAGATTATAAAAAAAATAATCTTATGATAAATTTGAAATAAAATCTTAAAATTATAATAAATTAAATATATCTCATATAACTAAGATATAGTTGCAATTAAAAATACTATTATATCTCTATAAGATCACGTAATAAGAAAGTGATATAACTCTATTAAATAAGAAAAAAATAAATATCTCAATTAATAGTCACCATCATTTCTTCTATTTGGTTTCCTCCTATAAATTAAGTGGCTTAGTTCCTTCAACATTTGAAAGTTAAGCTACATTGCACCAACCAAAGAAGTCTCCATTTGTCCCACGAACCAAACCATGTCTAACATATCATCATCACTTCCCGTTTCAACCAATGATGCAAAACCCAACCCAAACTTCACTCGTCGCACCGCAAATTATCACCCTAATGTTTGGGGGGATTACTTCCTTTCCTATGATACTAGTTTCGAGGTACGTGTATGTCTCGTTAAATTTAATCGTATTTTCTTAGATTTATTCTTTATATTATTTTTTTTTCTGGTTTTGGTTCATTTGAAGCTTTAGTAAAGAGAAAAGAAACAGAGAGGGGAAAAAAGGAAAATAAGTAAAAAAAAAAAATAGAAATTGAAGTTATTTGGTAAGAGAAAAGTAGATAAAAAATCATGTTAATTCATTTATATTGGATTAAATAAAGAAGTAATTAAAGTGATATTATAAATTAAATTACACAAATATCTTTTCATATGATCAAACCATTGTCACAATTGTTATTACTATCAACCATCACTATGTCATTGTTGCCTCCATATGACGATAATGATAGTGATAATATACAAAAGAACTAAAGTGATATTATAAATTAAATGACATAAATATCTTTTCACATGATTAAACAATTGTTATTACTATCAACAATTACTCTGTCATTGTTACCTTCATATGACAACAATGACAGTGGTGATAGTAACAATAACTATCATTATTATCATATTACCATCTTTGCTCTCTACATATATAACTACAATTAATCATCATTATGTGATAGCAGCGACATTAGCAACGATGATTGTGATGACATTGAGTGATTGTGATAACAATGATAATAATATTTATTAATAATAATAATGGTGATGACAATGATAAATGTCGTTGCGGCCACAATCTATGTCCCTATTATAATGTTACAACTATAATAATAGGAGTTATGGTTATGGTGATAATTGTACTTGTCACCATCGTCACAACCAATTATATCTATTAAGTTGTTGATAATATTTTTTTCAACTCACTTAAATTACAATCTATCACAAACATCTATACTATGATTCCTTACCTCAAGAAGGTACAAATATCTAAATAACAAAAAATTTGTGTGACGAATTCATTAAATTATGTCTTTTACAATAAAATTTGATAGGTGAAATTTTGAGTATTTTTTTTTATATATATATAAGAGATGTTTATAATAAAATTAATCTTAAAATTTATTATTTTTAATCTTAATGTAATAATTTTTTATTAATTATTCTCATATTATCTCTTATAAGTAAAATCATATACACACGTATATAATGTTTCGAATTCTAAATAGTTAAAGTAGAGAGATACGTGTTCCTCTTTTACTTTTTCCTTTTAAATGAATGTAAGGAAGAGTGTCTTGAGCCTAATAAATATCATATACACGAATTGGAATACCCGTTGTATTATTTTTAATATCACATATCTTTGTCTAAAAAAAAAAAAAAAGTCTTCGGAATGATTTTTTTAAATATTTGAATTTTATAAATTTGATTAATAATTTTGAGTTTAAATCCTGCATATGCAACTATGTTAAATAAGAAAGATCTTGTTATCTATAATAATTCTTTTCGACTCAAATATATTATCTTAAATAGTAGACATGATAAGAAAATATAATAAAACAGAAAATAAAATTAAAATTAATTGACTATATATTCTTAAATATTAAAAGTACATTTTTAACTCTTCCAATTTACATGTTTAATAATTTATTTATTTAGTGATACATCATACACGAGTACCTGCTGGTTGTTAATAACTATTAATTATCATTTTATCGCCATAGATGTCAAACTACATAATCAATGTTTAATGAGTCCTATATTGCGAAAAAAATTAAAAATAAAATGAAATAAATAACCAAACAAAAGAACTTGTACTACTCAGCGAAGCCGTCCAAATCCAAACACTGAAAACGCAAGTATAACTATTACGTGGGTCTTGTCAACCGAACATATATTTTTTTTTTAAAGACAAGAAATATTATAAAAATGATCCCAATAAGAATTAAATATAAGTCTTCATGCTTCTAATTATCTCAACTCCACTCTATCCAACCGAACATATGATCCCCTATAGTTTTCAAAAAGTTATTATAAAAAATAATTAAATCCTTTACAACGTTTTTCTTACTAATCTTTTTCATTTTTCAATATAATAAATATTAAAAGAGTTTTATACTTTTTAAATATTGAATATATTTTTAATTTTTATAAAATATTAGAATTTTTTATAAAAAAATGTATTAAGATAATTATTATGGAGATCACATCCATCAATACAAATTTTGTAATTCCTCTCATTCTAATATGTATGAATTATTATTAAAAATATAAAAATAAGAAATTATTTTAACATTTATTTTGACCAATTTTATTCTCATTTCTATAACACGAACTTTTATATGTATTATGATCTATGTGTTTTATCTTTTTATTTATTATCAATTTAAAATTTAACGTTTATTCTAAGTTATACATCATAAAAGAAGGAAATAAAAAAAAAAGTAAAGAAAAGAAAAATCATTATTAGTTAGATCACGTACAAGTGTCACTAATATTCATTTGCATAGGTTATAAGAAAATAATCTTATGTTAAATTTGAAATAAAATCTTAAAATTTTAAAAAAATTAGATATCTCATCTAACTAAGATATAGTTACAATTAAAAATACTATTTCACCTAATAAGAAAGTGATATAACACTATTAAATAAGAAAAAACAAATATATCAATTAATAGTCACCATCTTTTCTTTTATTTGGTTTCCTCCTATAAATTAAGTGGCTTGGATCCTTCAACATTTTGAAGTTGAGTTACATTGCACCAACCAAAGAAGTCTCCATTTGTCCCACGTACCAAACCATGTTTAACATATCATAACCTCCGATTTCAACCAATGTTGCAAAATCCAACCCAAACTTCACTTGTTACATCGTAATCCAGAAACTTTAAATAGCGAGAGTAATACTGATTTATATAATTATAATATTAAAAATTTAACATATAATTTTAAAAAATATAAATATATAATTATTTTTTTATAAACTTTTATATATATTATAAGTTAAAATGTTTGAATCCAACCTTCTTTGAAAATACGTATTTTAACTATAACTTATTTATTTGTCATAGACATTTTTTAAATGTTTAGTTTGAACTACAACTCTAAATACATACTTTATAATAATTTAACACTAATAAAAATATATGATAAGTTTTATAAAAATTTAATTTAATTTATTTATGATATAAATATATTTTTAATATCTAATATTTGGGGAAATTACTTCCTTTCCTATGATACTAGTTGTGAGATATGTGTATGTTTGATTAAATTTAATCTTATTTTTTTGATTTATTCTTTATATTATTATTATTTTTTCTGGTTTTGGTTCATTTGAAGCTTTAGTAAAGAGGGAAGAAAGGAAAATAAGTATAAAAAAAAAATAGAGATTGAAGTTATTTGATAGGAGAAAAGTAGATAAAAAAAATAATTTTAATTAATTTATATTGAATTAAATAAACAACTAAAGTGATATTATAAATTAAATTATACAAATATCTTTTATCTTTAACATCTAATTTTGCTTTCAATTTTTTTATAAACTAAGTTTATATAATTAATTATATTCTCTCTTCAATCAAAACATATTGATTATATTTGAGTACATACTCAATTATGTTTTGCAAACGAGGAAAACATAATTATTAAGCGCTTTCATATGCAACAATGTTTTATAAAAAATAATAAATCAATTAAATATACAACTGAAAATAATAAATTAAAAATTTTAACACAAAATAAAAATTGAATGTGAAAATTTGGCAAAATGAAAATATAGAACTATTAATGAAAAAATTTAAAATTTAAACTAAAAATTATTATGTTAACATAATCAATTATGCTTCGTCCAAAGGGCAACATAATTGATTATGCTACTTTACTCATATGAATAGAAGGATAAAATGATAAATCACACTCAAATTTTCTCATTTTAGCAAGGATAAAAAAAATTTTAAGTCTCAAATATTATTTGTTTCACTTCATCTCAATTCTAATATACCAAACACTCAAAATATAAGTTTCTACCATCTCCCATAATTTTTCGTCTCTTTCCTACCAACTTCCACTACACTAAAGAGAAGAATTTCCCTTTTTTTTTTTTGGAATTTTGTTGTTAGTGTACCATTGGTTACTTTCCCATCTCCTTCAACATTACCATTACATGATGATGTCATTTTTCATAGCCATGGTCTAAAAGGATTACATATATCTCATAATTTAAATAGCCAAGTATATAGTATATCTATAATTAAATGATTCTCCTCTTTTACTTTATGGTATTAAAGTTTTGATATTAACTTTTATCATCACTACTTGCAGGAAGCAAATGACCAAGACAAACAATTTCAACTATTAAAAGAGGGTTTAAGGAAGGTTCTTGTCTCATCTACTGATAAAAATTTCTCTTTTACATTAAACTTTATAGACTCGATCCAACGCATAGGTGTTTCATACCATTTTCAACATGAAATTGATGGAGTGTTGCTTGAAATTTATGAGATTTCAACAAAGGACAATAATATCATAGTTCTTGAAGATGATCTTCATCAATTGGCTTTACTTTTCCGGTTGCTTAGACAGCAAGGATATCACATTTCACCAAGTATGTTGTTATGAACATTGCACCTAAATGATAATCTTAAATTCCTCATCCAAGTTACTTTTTTACTATTTAGGTATAGGGATGTTGTATTACATTATGTTATATAGTTAAGTCGATTTTAGAGGAAGAATGAGTTGAAACAAATTTAAAATTTTTAATTTATTCTAAATTTGAAAATTAATTTTGCACAACTAATAATGGAGATGGAAAAAGAAAAAAAATATATTTATCCCTTTATTAGAGGCTTGAGATGTTACCTCCAAAAAAACAAGAGAGAAAAATTATGTATAGTTCCCTCTGTTTTTCAGAATGTGTGCAAGACACTCATATATAAGAGAAGCAAACCAAGTGCAACAAAAGGAAAAATAACAAACTGTTAATTGACTCAATGATTAGCTGAAAACACAACATTTGACACCTAATTAACATGGCTCTCTAAATTAGATAATTTAAATCATAGTGAATAAAATCTTCTAATTTGAAGGTCTCTTGTTTATGTGTCTTATAATAGTGGATTCGAGTCTAACTCAACCTTACAAAATTGAATTGTAAGGTGAAAATTTTTTTCTACTTATATATTCTTTAATTGCCTTATATCTAGTCGATGTGGGACTTGGATTTTTCCCAATACACTCCCTCACATCCAGTACTATTGGGCTTAAAACATGGATAAATGATGGATGACCCTTTTGAATGATCTATCATAGGCGACCCTTTTTAAGGATCTAGGATAGCTCAATACCATCTTAGAATAGTGGATTTGAGCCTAACTCAACCCTACAAAATCGGTTTGTAAGGTGAGGGTTGCTTTCCACTTATATATTCTTTAATTGCCTTATCTATAGTCGATGTGGGACTTGGATTTTTCCCAATAATGTGTTTGAACATGTTCTTAATTACATCGTCATTATTGTCAAGCCCAACATTAGCATTAGCACTTGTGAGACTTGTAATTAGGCTAAAATGAATAATTGTACTATCATTTCCACCCTCCTGGAGAAAAACCTTGTCATCAAGGTGATAAAAATCCTTGAAAGATATCTAATCTTCCCATGAAGTGTCTTTTGGGTAAGGGGTGGGAGGCCATGCCATTAGACTAGAACCAATTGGTAGGGAAGGTCTACAAAGGCATCCAATTTGGAATCCAAAACCAAAAAGGGGTCAAATAAATGTTGACTCTTTGTTAAAGAAATTTGAAAAGGGAAATCGAGAAATATTAGGGCTATAATGTGGCTTAAGTTAAGAACAATGAAACACAAGGTGAATTTTGTGACGACCCACCCTAGGCCTCACATCCAGAACCAAGTAAAATAAAATAATATATAATAAAGAAAATAGAGCAAGGGCCAGCTACGCTAGAGCGTAAATATACAATAACATATAAATTATTTCCAAAATATATAACATATTTTTATAGCAAAGTCATCATCCTCAGTAATGATTATACAGTAATCCAAAAAAATAATATAATTACAATATCATGAAAGTATCAAAATAAGACACCCTAGGTGCTGGTCAAGCTCTAAGTCTAGCCACTCCTTAAAGTAGTTACCCAAAAAGACTCCTTGCTATCGCAAAGTCTCACACCTGATCTGCTCCCCCACATAGTGAGATCATCACAGTCCACATCATGGAAATATAAGGGTTAGCACATATAAAACCAACCAAAGTACAATAAAATGGAATATCATTAAACTAGATATTCATCAACAGTATGTATCCATACCAAAGAAATGAACATTATAAACAGTTATTTCCATGTCAAATATAAACCAATCCAGAATCTAATGTATACACGTCCATGCCAATGCATACATATTTTATGATAATAAAGAATCCATAACCAATGTATACAATCCATACCATATGTATACATATTCCACATCCAAAACAAAGTCACACCACTGTATAATTCCATGATGTAACCAACACATCCAAACCAAATGTTGGCCTCAACACATCCAAACCAAGTGTTGATTCGGTGAAACATGTCAGCAACCCATGTCACACACCTAACCTCTCATGGAAAATATACAGTTGGATTACGTCGTCACGTAACCCTAGTGATCGTGGCCACTTCATCCATCGGTATGACTCGGTCTTGCCCCCATACCGGTAGCAAATATAATACTTAGAGGAATACTTCAGAATCCACCTAACATCTGAAGTGGTTTATTATATAACCTTAATTTGGAAAAGTTCCATATTGGAATCCTCACCATGGGATTCCCAAATTCCATATTTTTTTCAAAGATTATATCCTGATCTCACCAAGAGATCTAATCCATACCATAACCTTACTCCTCTAAGTTCTATTAGCTTTCCAAACCACACACATATAGCATATTCCATAATTACATACAAACTTTTCCATAACCGTGCCAAATCATTCAATATAATAACATAAATAATTAAACACCTAAAACAACCATCAACTTAAACACATGACAATCTTCATATAAACAAAATAGCATATTAAAAGTGATACTACCCCTATCATGCTCATACTAGATTATGTCTTATAAGTACTACCCTTACTTGGATAAACAGGAATCGAAACTAGGGCAGAACCTCCTCCTCTCTTTCTTAAACAAGAACCGAAACTAGGATAGAACCTCCTTTTATGGATTTCTCTTCCTCTCTCTCCTCTTTTCTTTCCCCTCCTCTCTCTTTCTTTCTCTCTCTCCTCTTTCTCTCTCTAGGATCTCCTCCTCTCAAATTCCACATTTCCTAACACCCCAGCTCCCTATTTATAGAATTCTTCCCTACCAACCCGGAACAGTCCGTTCCAAAAGCAGAACGCCCGTTCTGGGCCCGAAGAATCTACATAAGTTTTAGAACTGGAATGACCCGTTCCAAAACCAAAACGGCCCATTCTAGGACTCATCCAGAACGGCCTGTTCTCCCTCCGGAACGGCCCGTACTCCTTTCCAGAACAGCCCGTTCTCCATCCAGAACGGTCCGTTCTCCCTCCAGAACGGTCCGTTCCAATTTTGGAAACAGCCCGTTCTGCTACTTCAAACTCAGTTCATTTTTAATGCTTGGAACGGCCCGTTCCACTTTTGGAACAGCCCGTTCCAAGTTACAAAAATACCCCTATACCATTAATAATTTTGAGAAAATACCATTAATAAATAATAATAAAAAATAGGTATTACAAATTTTGGCTTAGACTAGTAACTCCAAACGATAAGCCATGAGATTGATCATTTCAATATTTTGAAATGGACCATATATAGTACCTTTTACCCAACTTCTAGTACTTGGATTCATGAAGGGAAAGTTAGCGATATTGCATAAGTTTTACATAGACCTAATTCCCCATTAGTAAGAAACATCTTAGCAATAAGCATCAATAGAAGCCTTCATAGATTTATGAACCTTAAGTAACTTTTGATGCAAGGATTGAAATAGTTCTTCCATTGAGACCAAAAAAGACTCAATAATTTCCAATGAATAAGTACCACGAAGGTAGTGTGGGACATATGGAGGAGATTTGCTATAAGTGATGTGAAATGGAGTAAGTCCAATGGAAAAATGAAAGAAGTATTATAACATCGATCATTCTACAAAAATAAAAATTTTTCCCAAAAATATATGTTGGTTTGTGATGAACATGAGCACCGAGGTATTGTCCCAGAATATGATTCAGAACCGTAGTTATGTCATCACTTTGAAGGAGATAAGTTGTACTCATGTGAAGCTTGGTACTATTAAACTTATATAACTCCTGGCAAAAAAGATTCATAAAAAACAAATCCCTGTAAAAAAATAAGGCTTTTAAAAAAATTGTGTAGTTTGCAAATAGAGTCAAGAAAAACTTAAGCAACCTAGTGGGTAGTAAAATTTGTAAGTAGTATGTTGAAATGCGCTTCTACAAAAAAGCAATCCATAACTACTAAATCATGACGCACCCATGAAAAGGAAGCAACCTAATGATGAAATCAAGTTCAATTGATGGAGTGTTGCTTGAAATATATGAGATTTCAACAAAGGACAATAATATCATAGTTCTTGAAGATGATCTTCATCAATTGGCTTTACTTTTTCGGTTGCTTAGACAACAAGGATATCGCTTCTTAGATTTATTCTTTATATTATTTTTTTTTCTGGTTTTGGTTCATTTGAAGCTTTAGTAAAGAGAAAAGAAACAGAGAGGGGAAAAAAGGAAAATAAGTAAAAAAAAAAAATAGAAATTGAAGTTATTTGGTAAGAGAAAAGTAGATAAAAAATCATGTTAATTCATTTATATTGGATTAAATAAAGAAGTAATTAAAGTGATATTATAAATTAAATTACACAAATATCTTTTCATATGATCAAACCATTGTCACAATTGTTATTACTATCAACCATCACTATGTCATTGTTGCCTCCATATGACGATAATGATAGTGATAATATACAATAATTATTATTATTGTCATGTTACCATCTCTGCTCTTAACATATATAGCTACAATCGTCATTATGTGATAGCAGCGACATTAGCGATGGTTGTGATGACAATGAGAATGATTGTGACATCAACGATAACAATATTAGTAACAATAATAGTGATAATAATGATGATTGTCGGCCACAATCTGTCTCTATTATAATGTTACAACTACAATAATAAAGATCATGGTTATGGTGATAATTGTGCTAATTGTCACCATCGCCACAACCAATTATCTCTATTAAGTTGTTGATAATGTTTTTTCAACTCACTTAAAATGCAATCTATCCCAAATATCTATACCGTGATTCCTTACCTCAACAATATACAAATATCTAAATAGCAAAAAATTTATATCTATTTTTCATGATATTATGCATGGATCATATATATTATGACGAATTCATTAAATCATATCTTTCACAATAAAATTTGATAGGTGAAATTTTGAGTACTTTATTTTATATAAGAGATGTTTATAATAAAATTAATCATAATAATTTATTAATTTTAATCTTAATTTAATAATTTTTATTAATTATTCTCATATTATCTCTTA